AAAGAAATAAAATCAAAACCAGTAATAAACAGTCTGTGAGTATGAATCTTGTGAGTAGAATTTTCGATCTTGGAAACTGTTGTCAGACTAGAATAGATATTGAAAAGGTAACAAGAAAGCTTTTGCATGGTTTTTGAAGTCTGCTAAATGTAGAGATCAAAGTAAAATAGAAAAGGAAAACCTGCTAATAAAAGTAATGATAGTAGAACACATGCCATTAGACATTGTTATAAAAAAATGGTTAATGAAAAAGAAAGAAAGGACATGAGAGATAGGTTAGCAAGTAGTGATAAAACATGTCAAAGGATTGATAAAAAAATTAGAAACTTACCTGAACTAAGTGATGATATAATTCTGAAGGTTAAATCTGCTAGTGAAATAAATAGTAATAAAGAGAAAAATGATAGAATTGTGAAAGAAAGATAAGAAATGGGATGTTATCAATGATCAACCATAGTATGCAAAATCGAAGCATGAAAATGGGATATTTGAAAACTTATATAAATTGAAAGACAGGACTGATCTTGGTGAGTAATAGCAAAAAAATTAACTTAATGAAGTGATTGTATCTTGATTACATGATCAGTTGTGATAAGTTAGAAAATATGATATTTGGAAGCTGTCTTGAGATGCAAAAGCTTGGGAGAATGGATATGAGATTGTTGCAAAGCATGAATGATAAAAATATAATATGAAACATTCAAAAAAAAAAATTGTGTTAGTGTATATACTAGTTAAAAAATATGTTGTATTATTAGTATATAGATTGTTAGTAATGTTGGTTATTGCAATTGGATATGTGTTGGAAAATTGTTTTTGCATGAGTTGCAACTTTGGTACAAAGTTTTTGGAGTCTAAGTCCTGTTATAGTAATGACCAACACCCCATGTATTGGTATTGCTAGGGTTAGAAACAATTATAGATTACCCAATCGTAACTGGGTAATATTAATAGCATGATTAGTGATATATTAAATTAATTAAAAGTCTAATTTGTGAATCACATAATGCATGTAACCTAAATAATAATTTATCTGAAGATAATCTTGTAATATATATAGATAGTGATTTCTAATAATAAAATATAATGAAGTTTAGCTTTAGTAATAAACATTCTGATATAGAAACTAAGTGGTTAACATTGTAGTCTATTGGTAGCAGTATCTAACACATTACTCCAGACTGTGTAGAAAGCCAAGTGAACATAATTTGAATTAAAAAGAAACAAAGACTCTATAATACTGCAATCATACGTGACAATACTGATATAGTATATGGCACTGGCCAATAATCGAAGAATTCATGCCTCTAGTAAGTTAGAGGCCTGGAGAGAGGTGAACTGCTACTAAATGATATTGTACTTAGGCTTTTTAAATTGAGTGAGTTACTTGTTGTAGTTAGTAGATAGTAAATTTAGTTAAAAATTCTTGTAATTTTTGTTTGATTTATATCTCCATAAAACAGTGGCAGGACATGCTGAAAAAAAAAAACTTAAAATTTTTTAAGAAATATTTTAGGGTTTTTTTTAGCAATAAGCATCATTTAGAGTTAAGATTATTAATAAAAGAGTATATGTGGGTTTTATAAGCTTAAAGGTAAAAAAAAGGTCTCTAATTTTATTTTAATCTGATTTATTTTAATTTGTGACAATTATTATTATCTGTAAAGAATGTGACAAAATCAGGTAATTATTTAGAGAGAGTGTGTAAAAAATTTAAAATTATATATAAAGACCTGATTAAGATATATGTAAGAAGAGGAGAGAAGTAAGCCTCTGATAAAAAAAAATCAGATAATAAATAACACTACTCTGACCTATTTTAATTATATATTCTTACTAATTACTATATCTATAATTTAATTAAGAGAAAAAGTTTTCTTGTAAATCACTTATACAAAACAAACTCTAAAAGACCTCAAAACAAAAATGACTATAATTTTTTAAATTACTAAGGGCAGTATCATTTATCATCTGATTTTTTTTTT